GAGTAAATCAGTTGAATGAAAATAGCGCATCGGACAGGCCTAACAGCGACGAAAGCATCTACTCCATACACTCTCATAGAAGGAAGAAGCAGTACATTACAGAAATTCGGCCGACAAAACAGAAGACAACACTCCACTCAAATTTCAGGTTGACACAGGAGCTTCGTGCAGCACCATCACTCTAAAGGATTACAAGAAAATCACCAACGAAACGCCTGAAAATTCCAGTGTCAAACTCAAGTTGTATGATCAGTCTCTGATACAACCCATAGGCAGCACGAAACTGTACTGTTCAGCTAATTGTGTGAGAAAGAAAGTCCACTTCGAAATTGTGGAGCATGCATCCACGTCTCTACTTTCAGGAAGAGCCTCTGAAGCCCTGAAGCTTATTCACTTCAATGAAAAATGAATCCTGCATGTCGACCTTCAGCGATCAGTCACTAACCCAAGAGAAAATCCTTCATAACTATCGTGATGTCTTCACTGGTCTTCGTAAACTACCTGGTACCTACCATATCGACATGGACCCTAATGCCAAACCCGTTTAAGAAAATACAAGACATGTGCCAATTCCACTTAAAGATGAGCTTAAAAACAAGATTGAAGAGCTTGAGTCCATGGGTGTTATTGCAAAAGTTACAAAGCCAACTCCCTGGATCAGTAATATGGTTGCAATGAGAAAGCCGAACAAACTCAGACTATGTCTAGATCCTCTGCATCTGAATAAAGGAATCGTCAGAAACCATTATCCAACGCCCACTGTGGAGGATATCGCACCTATGCTAACAAAAGCTAAAGTCTTCTCTGTTGGAGATGCTAAAGACGGATTCTTACAAGTTGTCCTAGATGAACCGTCCAGCTACTTAACGACGTTTTGGACCCCCTTCGGTCGTTATAGGTGGCTACGAATGCCCTTCGGAATCAAATCTGCCCCCGAAGAATTTAAAAGACGACTTGATGAATGCCTCGAAGGTCTGGAAAACATCGCAGTGATCCACGATGACATAGATATCTTTGGATCTGGTGATAACACGGAAGAAGCCACTACATCCCGTGATGTAGCATTCAAAGCTCTCCTAGACAGATACAGAGAGCGAGGCTTAAAGCTGAACAAAAAGAAATTACGCTTCAAGCTCAAGAAAGTAGCATACACGGGCCACATACTAGGATCAAAAGGTCTTCAAGCTGACCCAGAGATGATCCAGGCCATCCAGAATATGCCCCGTCCCACAGATGTACATGGAGTTCAACGCCTGATAGGAGTAGTTACCCACCTTTCTAAGTTCCTACCACTGCTCAGCACTGTCTGCCAACCCCTGCGTCTCCTAACAGATAGCAATTCTGTCTTTGATTGGCTACCTCATCACGAAGATGCCTTTGTCGGCATTAAGGAACTAATCACCCAAGCACCTGTTTTGCGTTATTTTGATGTCAGCAAAGAAGTCACCATTGAGTGTGACAGCTCTAATGTCGGCCTTCGCGCTGCCCTCACCCAAGGAGGGACAAACAGTTGCTTATGCTTCTCGCGCATTAACCAAAACAGAAATGAACTATGCGCAAATCGGAAAGGAATGTTTAGCAATTGTATTTGCTGCTGAACGATTTGAGCATGACATTCTGGGAAAGAACACTGTCCAAGTACTGCCTGATCACAAGCCTCTAATGATAATCTTGTAAGAACATTTGTTATCCTACTGACGCTAGTCATTATCTAGAAGTTCAAGTGATCAACAAGTATTTCATTGCGTCAGAGATGGTGACTACTCGATATTTGTGGGGTAAATTATTGATCGGCATTAAAATTCAACACACTGTCCGTATAATTTTTGAACCCCTCAATGGGATAAATGATTGACGAAATTTCAATTCCGCTGCTCGGAACGAAAGCGACACACTGAGCTGATTATCAAAGTTAAGCGAAATTGTTAAATTAATCGCGGCTGCGAGTTTTGCCGCAAAAGCTGACTTTTTGAGTTAAAGCGTTGATAATCGACGAAAAGAATGTGCCAGAGTAGAATGCGACGTGTCAAATGCGACTCCTCAGCCACAGGGAATACCTAACAACAATGAGTGCCTTGAAATACTCTGAATAATGGTTTTGAGAAAACCTCGTTCAATTCAACTTATACTATGATGTTCTTACAATTTTTTCGCTTCCAGATCAGGGATTTTCCTCGAATATTGAAACTTACACAATAATAGAAATAATGAATCACAGATCGAGAGATCTAGAAGCATTTCAAATTTAAAGACATGAAAATTATGACTTGTAACTAATCAGAGTGTTATAAACGTGCGAGCCAGTGAGCCATGCGAGCCAAGGGTGAGCCATGCGAGCCAAGGGTGAGCCATGCGAGCCAAGGGTGAGCCATGCGAGCCAAGGGTGAGCCATGCGAGCCAAGGGTGAGCCATGCGAGCCAAGGGTGAGCCATGCGAGTCAAGGGTGATCCATGCGAGTCATGCGAGCCACAGTCAAAATGTTAGGAATTTTTATTTGTTACATTTACATTTATTTGTTACATTTACATTTATTTGTTACATTTACATTTATTTGTTACATTTACATTTATTTGTTACATTTACTCTTCGAAGAACAAATTCATAGAAAAACACGGCAACTAGGCAATCGTTTTAAACTGATGAAATCCCAAGCAATCTTTTTGCAACTCCGCGCAGATCCTGAAAGAAATCGACCAAAAATGTTCATAAAAAAATCAATTACTTACATCGAAGTGATGATTTTTCAAGTAGAAAAAGATGACAGCAGTCAATGCTGACGGACTAAACCCGATTTGAGAAGAGGCTTTATAGTAGAAGCATTTACCGTCAGCTAGTGGGTCGAACCCTACCTCGAAACCAGCTTCTGCTACTCTCTGGTGGCGAGTTTTGAAGAAAGACTTGTCTGAGGGAAGAGACAGCCACCTGCAGCAGTCGGTCAACCGACAGAGTTTTGACAACTCAGATTCACTTAAGAGCGAAGCTGTTAAAATTACGCGACTTACTCACCATTCTTGACGCCAATACACGGAATTGCCCCGGAAGTACTGTTCTCTTTTCTCCTGAATGATTTTCCACGTGGATATCAATGAATGACGGGAGTCAACGGATATCATTCAACTATCCATTCGAGTAGCGGTAGGGCGGTGGAGCCGTACGTTTTTCTCAGAAAATTTTTTTACTTAAGTCGAACCTGAATTAATTTTGTCGCATTGTTTTTATTTTTTTGCGGATCCTGAGCGATTTGAATAGATAATTTTTTCTCTAAATAACAAAAACATAAAACAAAGAAAAAAATTCGTCCAACTCTGGACAGCCATTACTATGAGCAAGACTTGGCACAATGTATAGATGTTTAGAGCATTTTTCATATTTGACGCAGCAGCAGCAATAGTTCTGGCAACCGAAGCGAAATTAGGATTTTTCTGGGAATATTTCAATTTTAAGCACTTTTGTAGTTAAATTTAAAATTAATTTCCCACGGACAGAGAGAGTACCCTGTCAGCGAGGTTGAACCGTTTATACCCGTCCCCAGAATCATCTCCGCTTTCAAGATGGCGGGCGGGCGGTTTACAGCGATAGTTTAGTGATAGTCGGGCGCGAAATGATCGACGAACTTCCAGATCCTGGACCAATCGAAGAAAAAGACGTACTCGTAAAAATGGCTCGTATGACTCGCATGGCTCGCACCGTGGCTCGCAGATTTTGCAGACGCAATTAATCACGTTCCAAGTCGGCGATTTCCCTTGACTACCAAAACTTTGGGGCCTCTAAGAATCCTAAAGATAATCGCGTTGCGTATTTTCTAAATGACTGAAGTACTGACCGTTCATACAAGGAGGCACTTTACCTATAGACAACCACAGCAATGTTCTTCGCCCAAACTTACTCAAATTCTCTGAGAGGAATGATGGGGGATATAGACCATAACGAGTTAAAAGTCGTGCGCTATTAAGAGGATAAACACTGTTGATGCGATCTTTTCTCGTGGAATATTATGGAATATTCCATGATTCACTTGCATTTTTTTTTCACCGTCCTTTCGGCGAGCGTGTGTGTGTGTGTTGGTAATTATAAGCACAAAGTGTACAAAGCTTTAAAGCACATTTGCTGAGCTATTGTTCTGTCCATTAAATCTTTCGTTTTGTCATATTTTCATTGCTGTCGTCGTCGTTGTTTGGCTAAGGTCCCTTTCTTTCTAAAGCGGAGCAGTAGTCCATCGTCTGTTGCTCACTTATTTTTGCTCATTATGATGAATTGTTGTGAAGATTTTACTGAATCCTAAATTATTCCTATTTTTGTAAGAGCATTGCGATTTTACCGATGTAATCGGCTAGAAATGAATTGATATTATTATTATTATAGAAGGGTTACAAACTAATTTACTGATTAAATATTTAATGTAGATAAGCTCAGTGGATTTAAGGAAACATGACCAAATGCTACTGATGATGGGGGAGGGGGGGAAGGGACATATCCCACCAAGAAGGTGGTGCATCACTCTGAGATGTGACACACTTCTTGTGAACAGTTCTTCACTTTAAGGAGGGGGCATTGGGGTTTGCGGTTTTAAGGTTTTGGCTACTTTTTAGATTGGTTTTCGGTTTTTGCGCCAAAAAACGTCGATTTTTCGGTTTTGTCGTTCATTGCGTTTTGCGGATTTTCCGTTTTCAGCATTTGGTTTTCGGTTTCCGCCAACCATTTTGACGGGTACTCGGATTTGGTATCCGATGTGCTTTTTCGGTTTTTCATATTGGGGATCTGGTTTCTGTTCGATCTAAGCAGCAGTTATACGCCTCTGCTGATCTCGAATAGCCGCGAAACCTATGTTTCTTCACTTGTAACCACAGTATCAGATCGATTAGGATTTTGACAACTAAGATCCGCAAATTTATCGGTTTAGGCAGTTTTGCAAACGGTTTTCCGGTTTTGATCTAATTTCTTTACGGTTTTGCGGTTTCTAATATACCCCAATGCCCCCCTCTTTTAGATGAAATAATACCATGACACTCGTCATTTGTATTGTTGTTTTTGGTAGCTTAGAGATCTCAATGGCACGAAAGAGTGGATACAGCAAAATCTCCAGTGTAGAGAGCGAAGAAAAACCCAAGGAAGTTAGCTGTCTGTCCGCTCTTCTCTTTCAGTGGATGAACAGAGTTTTCAAGACAGGCAGTGAAAGGCCTTTAGATCAGGATGACTTTTTACCTTTGTCCGAGGAAAACTCGGCCCGTTCTTCGACCGATAAACTTCAAGAGAGTTGGAATAAGGAGAGAGATAAATGCAAGAAAAAAGGAAAAAGACCCAAGCTTTGGAAAAGCGTGTTGAGGATGCTGACTGTCAACGATCTCTTGGTTATTGTGTTCGGGAACGTTTTGTATGCAGCTTATCATATTCTCAGTCCATTGTTTCTCGGATATCTTGTGTCCAAATTAATATCAGCTACAACACAGGAAANTTTTCCTCTCTATGTTTGCGCTTTGAGTTTGTGTTTCATTGCAGTGGTTGGAACCTTCGGTATCCATCACATGGGCTACAGGACCGAGCTTTATGGAATCCGAGTGAGTAGTGCACTAAGGGGTTTGGTGTACCGTAAGGTAAGCACAACTCATTGAGCCCTTTTCACTTGAACTACTTAGGTTGGCAATCCACTTGATTTTGATTGTTTCTTAAACGCCAAATATTATACGGACACTTCTTTCAAAAAAAATAAACAACAAACAAACAAAGAGCTTCTGTCATTGTCGACGCGTCAAAGGCAAGTCAATGCAAGTGAGGCCGAGAGAATAGAATGGAATAGACCCTTTCAGCTTTATACGTCATAACTGGTCACAGGGTCTGAAATGGGGTAGCCAACAGTCGTGAAGTGTAGAGAACGGTTCTCTTTCGTTGTTTCTGTAACTGCTACAATATATCCACAAAGTCGGCGTTGTCTTTTCATGAATACCCTGAGGATCCTGCAGTGCGTCTACGCATAGCGGCCGCATTTTACTGATGAGCCAGGTGGTTGCTGGGATACGTGCTATAAACGCGCATGCCCTGAGGATGCTAAGCTTCAGAAGCTCAGTATCCATGCTATATTTCTTTAACTTCTAACTGCATGAATTTTTATTTTAATCTGCATAGGTAAATGGTTAGAAACCCGGAAGAATAATGAATCACCTCTCGATTTCTTTATGTCATGGCTGTTTCCAGTTTCTTTTCAAACAGATATGGGCTTTTAGAAAAAAATAAGATCAAAATTAAGACTTAGAATAATTTCGTTTTGGTATCTTATACCTGATAAAACTTCATAAACATTGAGCTCGAGTCTTGTGCTAATAATATTCGTTTTAAAAACAATTATTTTCTGCAGACGTTACTAATCAGCAAGGAAAAGCTGCTCAATTTTACGACCGGGCGTGTGTTTGACCTGATGTCCAACGATGTTAAGAGAATGGAGGAACAAACTGCCCTATTCTTCTTCAAATTTCCTTTCTTTGTTCTTGAAATTGTATTTACAGTGATTATTCTTGGTCACTTGATTGGCTGGCAAGCTGTCTTGGCGGCCATCTTTCTTTGCGTTTTAGTTCCCTTTTTGGCTGGCTTATCCTATTGTAGTGCTGCAGTGCGTCTACGCATGGCGGCCGCGTCCGATCAACGCATTTCCCTGATGAGTCAGGTGGTTGCTGGGATACGTGCCATAAAAGCGCATGCGTGGGAAGATGAATACAGGGAAAGGATAAGAGATATTCGCAGGTAAGGGCAATGCAAGGCGTTGCAAGCCTTCTACTTTTTCATCTGCAACAAGTCCTACTGGTATTCTTAATTGTCCCTAAAACTGTCAGCTCTACACCTAAACTTTCGACCGTACGTTAACAAATTTGTAATTAGTAGCACAAAGAAAATCAAAATCTTAAATGACCTTGTAATGTCCTGTTTATAATCATAATTTCAGGCGGGAAATTAGCGCCATGCATGAGAAGAACATCCTTCAATCAACTGTTGATGGCTTGATGTGCAGTGCATCGGCGGTGGCAACCCTGGTGTTAATCCTCGCTATGGTGCTGACTGGTCAGGCTCTTAACCCTGTTAAAATTTTCGTGCTCCTTTCTTATGTCAGTGTTCTCATGAGAAATATCAACCTTGGACTGGCTTATACCTTTTTTTTAGTATACGAAGCTTATGTTTCGCTGGGTAGAATCGAAGAGTTTCTTCTCCTAGAAACACTGCCCCAAAGTTCCGATGATGTGCGAGAAGAGAACAGAGGTGACCCAAAAATTAGTTTAGTCAAACCGAAGAAAAAAGGTCAGGTTGCTACCGAATCAAAAGATTTTATTGGGCCGCTATCTTTGTGTGTGTCAAATTTAACATACAAGGGAATTGATCGCGAACATGAATATATTCTTCAGGACATCGAGTTTGTCACTACTTCAAAGAGTTTAACATTGATAACGGGGCCAGTGGGTAGTGGAAAATCCACTCTTCTTGCGACTATCGCTGGAGAAATCACACCTACGAGTGGAA